CATCTTTTTTGAATTAATCAACATATTATGTTATTAAGTATTTGTTTTAATTATATTATAAGATTTATAATTTGACTAATTTTTTAAGATATCTTTTTTGGCTATTTTATATTTTTCATTTTTCTTATCAATTAATTTTGCCGAACATAATTTGTTAATCAGCTAGTTTATCAGTCATCAACTAACTTATAAATCAGTTTGTCAAACAAAGCCAAAATATCTTGTTTATATGTTTTACATTAATAGATGTCAATGTTTAGTATCCAAGATAGAGCGGAACAAACTTATTGTCCCACATCTCGCTCATGGTATTAAACCGGCACATAATGAGATTGAGTGACACAAAAACACACTTTTTCTGTCCTATCAAAATTGATAGAACAAAAGTTAAAAAGATAAAACAAGATTGATTGATTATTAAATCATATGGTTCTCATTTTGAATTGTTTAGTCTTTAAATTATTTTTTTAATAAAAAATCATTAAATTTTCTAATTTTAAATGATTAAATTCATGAACCAGTTTTTTAAATATTAAATTTCCCCGTCTACCCAATTTCATCGATTGAACCATGAAACAAGAATAAGCCAAGGCCTTAGCCTGCATTTAATTGAAACCATAATTTGATTCATTACATGCAAGAGATTTAGATGAGATCAGAGGGGCAGGGGGCAGGGGTAGGGGCCGGACAGAAAGGACAAAGAAGCACTCCCCTTGGGCCCACGCCCCACCTTGATTAGCAGTCAGTGAGAGCAAGGATGGATGTTGTCCCCCACCTTGTCAGTTAGTCACAAGTGAAGTCTTTAATGTTAAAAGCAGCAACTCAATCTCTTTCGCTCTAAATTTCAGTTTTTTTTTTAAATTAAAATAATAGATTGTTTATTAAATACTTATTCGATAAATATTTACCAGTAAAATATAATGCTATTATTTGTTTATCAAATAAGATTTTAATCCATCAAAACGACATTGTATGTCATAATTCACCCGGTAAACGCTTACCGTGGTAAGAATTGTCATATTCACTTACCGGGTAAGACTTATAGTCCTTATCTCGTTCTTACCGGATAAGATTCTTAGTCCTTATTATATTCATTCGATGAGGTAATGTGACTTAGTAAACGCTTACCAAAATAAACAAATTGTGGATTTGATCAATGTGAACTAATTGTTATGGTATTCAATTTGTTTTGTTCATGGTTTTTCGGATTAACGTTTTTAGAACTCAATGATTATTTAATTATATTTATATATTTTTTATATTTAAAATAAAATGTTTATTTTATATTTTATTATGTTTATCTCCAGTTAGTTGTACGACTTCAAACATGGAGCTTTAATAAGATGTATTTTCGAACAATCTACTTGCAGTCTTAAGTTTTAAGTAATATGAATCAATAATCAGTATTTTATATATAAACAATTGTTTTTAAGAGTTTTTGTTAAATATATTATAATATAGTATAGATATGTATGCATATAACAAGACTCGAATCTACTTTTAGGTGGCGTTTGTTTCTAAGAGGCACTGAAGTCTGATTTCACTTTTGATTTATAAGAGATGGTCTTAAGGTCTAAAATTTGGATCAGTAAGATTGTTTGTTTTTACGTCTAAAGTCTGAAATCAAAATCAAAATCAGTCAAACTAGTGCAAAAATATAAAAGATAAATAGTTTTTACAGAATTATAAAAAATAAATAGTTTTTACTAACAAATCTCTTCCATCCCCCAAAATATAAATCATTTGGTAGATGGCGGAGTAGAATCAAGAGATATTAAAGTATACATTTACCATTTAAAATCTTAAAGAACATTTAGAGCTTTTAAACTCTTATTTTGGAAATAAAATAAACGCTCTAAATATCCAAACATCCGAACGAATCAGACTTCAGAGTTATTAAGAGATAATTTTAAAAAACAAACATGCTTTTGGTAAATCCATTTTATGCTAATTTCATCTCATAATTTTTACATATTTAAAGCATCGAATTGACATAACAAGTGTCAAACAGCAATCCCCTTTCCAAATAAGAAAAAGAGTTGGGGAAATAATCACAAGATTCTTCAGAATCACGTACAAATCAACATGGCATAATCACAAGCTTTGACTCATCTCTAAAGCATTTCAACAAGTTCACAACACTTCCAACTGGCTTTCTTTTAAGATGGAAATTTTAGTAAAAACAACACAACACTTCCAAGTGGCGAAATTTTAGTAATGGGTTTTTGTAAGATTAAAACTTCTACCAAAAATTCGTACAAAAAATATAAATTTTGCACAAATAAGAAATCCAGTCTTCTTTCATTGATAGAAGCAGCTCTAATGCCTTCTGGGATTATGGTTATATATATGGGGAAAGGAAAGGAAGTACCTGTAGAGAACTTGGAAGGGTCGATGATTGATCAACCCTCCATCTCATGGTTCTTGGACACAATTAATGTGATAAAAGAACCATTTGCCTCATCCTTAACTCCATCATCATCATCATCATCATGAGCAG